GGGCGCAGAGTGGGAGAGTGGCATGGGGTATGGGACAGCAATGTGAGCTGCCACTGCTGCCCTGGGGACCCGGTGGCAGCCACGATCACACTCCCCAAGGCGGCTCCCCATTGGTGGGGGACCAACCTCTAACTTAGAAGGGAACTGAACTTCCTCCCAGCACTCAAGGCCCAGACTAGAGCCCTCCAACTCCAAGTCTGGGCTTGGGGACACTCTGACGGGGGTGTCCAGCCGGGAGTGACTAGAGATGGGAATATGCGTTGAGTGGGCATCTCGGCCAGGACCCTGTCCTCCCCCCAGCCACCGCTGGACCAGCCTTGGCAGCCACCTGTGCAGCCACTCAGCAACTGTCTCTCTCGTGGCTGCGTGGGTCACATGTGGTCAACGGCCTCCCTGGAAGCCGCTGATCGGTCTCCAAGGGCTTCAGGGTCTTCTCATCTGCTCCGGGCCCTCTGGGCACCTGGAGGGCCCATACCCTCACCCTCCAGCCAGGCGGAGAACTCAACTCATCCAGATATTTGATAAAGGAGGCTTTGTACACACAGCCTCCTCCACTGTGTTTGCCCTCCGTGAGGTAGAGGTGCTGGGTGATCCGGATGCAGTGGTTGGCACCCACCCCGACCTCTGCCAACGCCCGGCAGAGCCTGTCATCTGGGGCTGAGAAGACAGAACTGGAGCAGGGGTCGGGGGGGGGGGGGGCGCCTGACCGCCAGTGGCCGGGGCAGCTACAGACTGTGGCGTGGTGTAAAGCTGCTGCCTTGGGGAGCAGGGACACCCCTATAGGTGCTTGGAGGGTCCGCTGAGCACTAACTAGGGCCAGGTCCCAGTGACTCCCCTGCAGTAGCAGGGGCCTGGCAGTACGCAGAGCTCTTCTGAAACCTTTTCTCTCTGGAAGGTTTTCAACCGTAGCAAAAGCAAAAGTACAGCATGGGCTTCTGCCCCGGGAGCCGGGAACGGGGTTGCTGGCTTTTCTGTATCACAGCCACCCTAGCGTGTGTTCCTCCTACTGGTGATTTCCAGGGTGCAGATAGTCTCTCCGTGCTGAAGATAGGAGGCTGGTTTAGACATGAAGTCCAGGGTCAGTGCAGACATCTCTCGCCTGGGCGGCAGCCCCGTAGCAAGCCTGGATGGGAAGGACAAGCAAGAGCGAAACAGGAGCAAACAGACCCTTCGTAGTGGTTTGTTTCGGTCGGGAGCCCAAGGGAGGCCCCTAGGAAGACCCGAGAAAGCTTCCTGGAGGGGGTGGCCCTTGACACCAGTGAGCAGACCCCAGCCTGTCAGAACACGAGGATCTTCCTTCCAACAGATGCCTTCTGCCACCTTACTCTGCCCACCTGTATTTGGGGGGAGGGCGTTCTAAACTGCTTTCCAGACCACATGAAGGACTAGATCAATCCTACCCCTTACAAGGAGGCAGGGGAGAAAGTGCTGAGCCTTCACCCACGGTGCTGTCTTTCCTGTTGAATGGTCGAGTGCCAGCAGGCTGCCCACACAAATACACATTGAATCCAGAGCCCAAAGGTAAAACAGGACAGTGTCTGCCCTCGGAACCTCTCAAGGGACATCAGCAGGTCATTAAGAACCCCCAAACACCTGTACAAGTGTGGACAAAGATTTCTTTGCCAGAGTGCTGTTCTCTGTGGCACCATGGGGCTGGTGGGGCAGGTGATGTGTGGGTGGCAAGGGGCAGCCCAGAGGCCACATAGCAACTGGCACCGTGAAGTCTGGGCATGGGGGAACCAGGTAACCAGTGGCTCACTAGATATGGGGGTTGACCTGGCTGAGGAAGATTCTAGAAGAAGTGGAAAATGTAAGGGTGCTAAGAAGACAGGATGTGGACCGGAACGATAGATTACAGTAGGGAGAGTGTTTGCCTTGCACACAGCCAACCTGGGTTCGATCCCAGGCATCCCATCTGGTCCCCCGAGCACTGCCAGGGGTAATTCCTGAGTGCAGAGCCAAGAGTAACCCCTGAGCATCACCCAAAAAGCAAAAAAAGAAGGAGGAGGAGGAAGAGAATGAGAAGGAGGAGGAAGAGGAAAAGTCGGAGAAGGAAAAGAAGAAGAAGAAGGAGAAGGAGGAGGAGGAGAAGATGGAAAAGAAGGAAAAGAAGGAGAAGGAGGAAGGAGAAGGAGGAGGAGAAGATGGAAAGGAAGGAAAAGAAGGAGAAGGAGGAAGAGAAGGAGGAGGAGGAGAAGATGGAGGAGAAGAAGAAGAAGAAGAAGAAGAAGAAGAAGAAGAAGAAGAAGAAGAAGAAGAAGAAGAAGAAGAAGAAGAAGAAGAAGAAGAAGAAGAAGAAGAAGAAGAGGAGGAGTAGGGGGAGGGGAGGAGGAGGAAGGAGGAAGGAGGAGGAGGAGGAGGAGGAGGAGGAGGAGGAGGAGGAGGAGGAGGAGGAGGAGGGAATGGCCTCACCCACTCTCATCTTCACATCCAGCTGGAAACCGCCATTCCCTCGAAACCTTCACAGGCAAAAAAAAGACATGTTCCCTCTCAAGGCGCCAAAGTACAGATGGCACCTCACTGCAGGACTCGTCTCCTCCCTTGCTTGTCTCGGCTCCAGGGCTCCCCATTCAAGAAAGAAAGAAACAGAGAAAGGGAGGAAGGAAGGAAAAGGAAGAAAAGAAGGAAGCTTTAACATGTAGGGGCAGCAACCGCATAGCCTCCCTTGCGTTGTTTGCTTCTCCCACCTTATTGTTTTTGTTAATTGAATCCTGTGAATTACAAAGTTACAAGGATACTCAGGATTGAGTTTTAGGAATACAATGTTCCAGCACCAATCCCTTCACCAGTGCTCCCTCCCCCCCACCGACCACCGTCCCCAGTTTCCCTCCTACAGAGCAGCCTGCTTGAAAGGAGTTTCTTTCAAAACCCCTCCTCCAGAGCCCCTTCCTCCATCATTGCTGTGTGGTCCCTTCCCTGATCTCTCTGCCTCGCCAGCCCCCAACCCTCAGTGGCAAGCTTCCTACTGAACTCCAGTTCTCATGCTCTTCCTTTCTACCGCCTTTGGGCAGTTGTTATTCCCCCTACGATCTTCCTTTATCTCCCACATAGGAGAGAGATTCTTCTGTCCCTCTCCCTCTGACTCATTTCACTCAGCAGGATACTCTGCAGATCCATCCACGGTCGCAGCAAGTTGCATGAGTTCATCTTTTCTCGTGGCTGAGCAGTGTTCCATTGTGTTTATGTACCTCGGTTTCTTTATCCAGTCATCTGTCCTTGTAAACTTGGGTTGTTTCCAGACCCTCCCTGACCGAAACCCAGCACAGCACACAGCACAGAGCACCATGCCTCGCATCCAGAGACGAATGTGTATGTTTCTGCCTGTGTGGCATCATCCAGGTGGAGCTCAGGCCACTTGTAGCCGGCAGAAACTGAGGGCCGTTAGCAGGGTCACTGACACATGGCTGCAGGCGGAACAGTGGGGTCGTTACTCTGAAGACATTATCAAAGTGTTTCACATGTTGGGGCTGGAGAAGCCAGGCTGGGCAAGGTCACTCTGTGAGTCAAGGACGAACGCTAATAGGCTTCCAGACTCATTCTCTGGGTTAGAGCTGCAACAGCCACCCCCAGAGCACATCCTCATTAGAGGCAGCGCCCCGGAAATGGGAAGTTCTCCCGGAGTAGGAGGTCTGGGTCAGGAACATGAGTGACAGGTGCCTCTCAGCCCTGACGGACGGTGGAGAGGAAGGAGAGCGGAGCTTGCTCTCTCTGACGCTGAACTGCTGCAGTCGCGGGAATCTGCCCTAGTTCTGTGTTTGTGGTGCTCTGCGCTGAACCCAGAGCCTCACATCGGCAAGGTGGGCGCTTGGCCACTGAGCCACATCCCAGCCTGGTTTCTGGAATTCTGGCAGGCGGCCCCAGTCAAAGGCTTATGACTCTGAAGAGAGTTTTTGCCTCATCCCACGCTGTGTTGGCTCCCACTGTTCCCAAGTTCGACACACCAACTGAGCCCCGGGGACCCCCAGACTTCACTTCCTAGGCTCTCCATCTTGGGGGGGCTGGAGCAGACGCACAGGTGCTGCCATGAGAGGCACCTGCAGAGGATCTGGCTGTCCCCTCCCCCCACGTCTTACAACATACAACACGTCTGGTGACAGCCGTGACTAACCTCAGCCCTTTTGTGCTGCATAATCATGGCTCCTGCCATTATTGGAGCCCCAAGGCAGAGGTGACACCACGGAGCCGTCCTGCTCAGCCTCAAGGGCCTGCAGAGCAGAGATGTCCCAGGGGAGGCCAGTAGTGCCAGGGGCAGGGATGGGCCAGGGGTGGCAGAGGCAGGGGGAGGCCCAGCAGTGTCAGGAGCCGGTTGGGCCAGATATGTCAGGGGGAGGGGGAGGGGGAGGGCCCACCGTGGCAGGGCAGCCCCTCAAAGCCTCAAAGGAGCCTAGCCTGGAGGTCCCCCAATCCCCATCTTTTTCAACAGGAAAAGACCCCTACCCCACTCCCAGCAACCCCCACCGGGAGCTGACTCTGCTTGTTTCTAGAGGATCACTCTCAATTCCTCCTGCAATTCCTCCAGGGTATGTGGGGACCATTCTCACCTCCCCTATCCTGCATCTGTTCAGGAGCACCGTAAGGGACTGGGGTGGGGGAAGTTTGAGCCGCTTCCATTCAAAGGGCGATGTGTTTAATGAAGCTGGAGGGTCCAACGTCAGCGCGCAGGACCCTGGGGATGTCTGTAGGAGACTTTGCCTACGGCTGTAGACCCCACTCCCACCCCTACTCGAACCCCCCAACCCCACCCCCTCCCAGGTCCAGCTAGGAAGCCGCCAGGCTTGAGGCGGAGGGCGGAAGGGGGGTGTCCCCGGGGCCACAGCCCAGGCCAGGTGGATGCTCCGCGGGGCGGCCGGCTCTGCGCGCGCAGAGTGGAACGGGCGCTCTGGGCCGCGGGGTGCGGGGGGGGCCCGAGGCTGCGGGGAGCCCGGCAGGCGGGCGGGCGGCGCCCCGCGCTCCGGGGCCCGGGGGCGGGACGTTCCCGCGGCCGCCCCGCCCCGCCCCGCCCTCCCGGCCTCGGCCTCGGGCCCCCGCGTCCCCGCGCGCTCACAGCGGCCGGCCATGGGCTGCGACGGGCGCGTGGCGGGGCTGCTCCGCCGCCACCTGCAGCCCACGCTCACCTACTGGAGCGTGTTCTTCAGCTTCGGCCTGTGCATCGCCTTCCTGGGGCCCACGCTGCTGGACCTGCGCTGCCAGACGCACAGCTCGCTGCCCCAGATCTCCTGGGTCTTCTTCTCGCAGCAGCTCTGCCTCCTGCTGGGCAGCGCCCTCGGGGGCGTCTTCAAGCGAACGTGAGTGCCGCGCGCCCCGCCCTGCGCCGGGGCATCCCCCCGCGACCCAGCCCCGCACAGCCCCGCAGCCCCGCGGCGCCCTCCCCGCCCCGGGCCCTCGGGAAAACTCTCCGGAGACGGCGGGCGACTTCTGCCTCGGGAGAGGGACCCCCCTCCCCCGCGGCTCGCTCCCGCTGCCGCCCGGCGGAGGGTCCCCACCCGTGCCCGCCGCGCGAGCGGGGGCGGCACGGCCAGGGGGAGGTGGAGGGAGAGTGAGTGTGGGAGTGTCGCCTCGGGGGGCCCTGCCGGTGCTAGCGCGGCGCCCCGCCACCCCGTCCACCCTAGCGGCCCGGCTCGGCTCCCGGACTCCCGGCAATGGGCTGGCACAGGCCAGCTCGCGCCCCTGTCCTTTCGGCCTGCGCGTCCTGAGTGGTCCGGTCCCCAGGGGTGCGATTCCCGTTTGGACGCACAGGTGTTTGGGCCCCCTCTCTTCGCCACTGTCCCTGGCCTCGGCCTGGCAGTGCCCCACAAACGCCCCCTGGAGCCGGGCTCTCCCGGGCAGTGGAGGATCCCTCTCCTTCCTGTAGCAAAGAGTGGGGTCCCCTCTTCAAGCCAGCCAGAGCGTTTCTGGGGGCGCAGGAGAGGACTTGGGAACGAGATCTCCTGGGCCCTGCAAGAGAAGCCCCCGGCTGTCCTGGGCAGGGAATGCTGCCCAGGGGGGTCACTCCTGTCCTCCCCCCCCACGAGGGTGGGAGTGCAGGAAGGAAGAGAGCAAGTGTCTTACTCATGGATAGTCTTGGTCCCCAACAAACAAAGAAAGTGCTGTTAATTAGGGAGTGGTTGGCCTCACGGCCCAGACTCTCATAAAACTGGTCTCCTGGCTCCTCTGGGTTTTTGTACCAGGGTTTGGGTCAGTCCTGAGAGGTCTGGAGACAGAAACCACACCTGCTCTGCGTCTCGAGGGTTTCTGGAAATTCTATCAGGTTTTCTTGATGGAGTATTTGACTTACTGCAACTCCCTTACCTGGTAGGCTTTCAGAGAAGGAGGAGCACAAAAAAACAGGAAGGGCAGTGAGGCGAATTCTAAGTGGCATCTTGGCAGGCTCACGCACCCCACTGGGCTTCCTCACCTGCTCTGCTCTGGGCCCCGGACTCAGTGGGTGCTCTGCATGGGCAGAGGGGAGACGGGCTCCCAGAAATGGAAAATGCTAAGGTAGCCATAATAACCAACTTTGTTACATGATTGAATAATCTGTCATACTAATAATATTATTTACTCTGTCAGGAAGTTGTTCCCCAGCCCGTCACGCCCTCCCCCATTGTACCAGGTTTCAAGCCCTGGGCCTCACACATACAAGGCATGTGCTCCAACCATATGGCTCTACTCTTTATTTTCTTTTTTTTTTTTTGCTGGGGGTTGGGGGCCCCCTAAGCGTGCTCAGGAGGTTCAAGAGGCCAGTTCCCTACCAGGGAAGTCATTTGCTTCAGTACAAGGTCTGGGGGATGCGAGTTTGCTTGGACACTGTGGTCTGGGAGATACCCGGGCCACCACAGGCAGTGCTGAGGACCTCCAGGACCAGGTAGTGGGAGGCCTCCAGGACTACACCCCATGATGCTCAGGAATCAAACCCAACTTGGACATATGCTAGGACATTTGCCCTAAACACTGTCCCCCAAATGCTGCTTTTAATACCTCGTATATAACAAGTCGTTTCACCTTCACAGCTACTCTGTAGAGTAGTAGTATTATGGCCATCTTATGCCCGAGGAAGTTAAGGCACAGAGAGGTTCAGAAACTTACCCGAGCTTACACAGCCTCCTGTGACAACGCTCAGTGGCCTGTGTTTGCCTCAAGTAGGAGGCACGGCTGAGATTTGAATCGAGGCTTTTTGTTCTGGAACCAGGTACCTTGGAACGCCTCTTTCTGATAAGAAGTCAGCTTCAGCTCTCCAAGGTACAAGTTGACCTTTTATTCTTCAGGCAGGACATGGCACGGCTGTCCCTGTGGGCATTCAGGAGCTGACACTCCGAGAAGGAAGTGGGGAGCTTCCTGTTGGGATCCAAGTGGGGGCTGGGTGGCGGGGGGCAGGGGGAGTAGATCTCCCCAGTGATTTAGACTTGCATTCTCAGCCCTGTTTCTCCCACCCCCAAGACAAATGGCGTAAAGAAGTCTCCTTTGATTAAGAGCTAAGCTGACTTCCAGGAGAGATGGAGCACTTCCCGCCCGCGGCCTGTCTGTAGCCAGGAGTCTCCGCTTTGCTTCGCTAGGACTAGAGTAGCTCCTCTTGACCCCCCACATCACCCCCCAGCACCGACCATCCCCACCAGGCTGAGACCAGGCTCTGGAGCTGGATTCTTCAGGACTCCCGTCTCAGCCGAGATGCCCGTTCCCCTGCAAGTGCTTTTCAGCTTAAGTGATTACTCAGAGTGCTGAGAGCTGCTCTTGTGAGTGGGAACGGGAGGCCAGCTGTTGTGGGGGAAGTGCCGCGTGGAGCGAGCGGGAGCTGGGAGATGGGACAGCGCCTCTTTCTTTCTCCAAGGCTCCCGCTCAAGCCTGCCAGCTGCTTCGCCCAGATCTCGGGCTGGTCAGGGCTGAGGGGGCACTCTGGAGGTGTCATCAGGATTCCCGAGGGGTCTGCGGCTGCAGAGACTTTGGATGCTGGTGGTGCAGGGGGTCCTCTCCCCAGACCTCTCCTGCATCTGCCTGAAGATCCTGAGACGGACGTGGGCGCGCTCAGAGGGAGAGGGTGCGATGGGGACCAGAAGAAGCTGGATGCAACCTCCCTCTTCCTAGTTTGACAGTTCTAAACATGCGTGAAAAGGTTGGAAATGACGAGTTTCCAGCATTTCTCTCGCTCAGAGGAACACGGAGCATGATGGTGTCTGCCAAAGTTGCCCCACCTCCCCCAGGAAGCAAGACTGCACATGGCTGAGAGTGGCTCTTACTGCCCAGCCATGGACGATGGTCCGTCCGCACTTTCTGGCTTCAGGCAAAGGAGCGCGCACCTCTCTCACACACTTTCTGTGTGGATATTTGTTTTCCTTTCTTTGAGGCCCACACCTGGATGGACGAAGAGTTGCCAGGCCAATGGGAAACTGTGAGAGGTGGTTTTTAATTTTTTATTTTTTAATTAAAAATATTTGTTTGGTTGGGGCTGGAGAGATAGCACGGCAGGTAGGGCGTTTGCCTTGCACACGGCTGACCCGAGTTCAATTCCCTGGCATCCCATATGGTCCCCCAACCTCCTCCAGGAGTAATTCCTGAGTGCAGAGTCATGAGTAACCCCTGAGCATCGCTGCGTGCTCAAAAAGAAAAAAAAAATGTTTAATTGAATTATAGGGCTGGAGCGATAGCACAGTGGGTAGGGCGTTTGCCTTGCACGCAGCCAACATGGCTGACCCGAGTTCGATTCCTCCGCCCCTCTTGGAGAGCCCGGCAAGCTACCGAGAGTATCTCGCCCGCACAGCAGAGCCTGGCAAGCTCCCCGTGACGTATTCGATATGCCAAACACAGTAACAACAAGGTCTCCAATGGAGACGTTACTGGGCCTGCTTGAGCAAATCGATGAACAACGGGAGGACAGTGACAGTGAATTTAATTACAAAGTTACAAAGATATTTATGATCGCATTTCAGGTGTATATTGTTCCAACATCAGTCCCTTCACCAGTGCCCACTAGCCTCCACCAATGTCCCCAGTTTCTCTCCCACCCCCCAGAGGCAGGTACTTGCCCCCCTAACTAATCCCTTCACCCCTGCCCTCCGGGGCCAAGTTTCCTACAGAGATGGGGTTTTATTTATTTTTTTTTCTTTTTGGGTCACACCCGGCGATGCACAGGGGTTACTCCTGGCTTATGCACTCAAGAATTACTCCTGGCGGTGCTCAGGGGACCATATGGGATGCTGGGAATCGAATCCGGGTCGGCCGCGTGCAAGGCAAATGCCCTACCCGCTGTGCTATCTCTCCAGCCCCCAGAGATGGGGTTTTAAAGCAAGAGGCCTGTGGAGTGCCTGGTTCCAGGCGGGCGGGTACTGTCCTCCCAGCTCAGATGCTTCCTTCTTCATTCCATGTTCTTTGAGCTGCAGGGGTGGCAGTTGGGGAGGTGGGTGTGGGAGTGGTCGGGAAGCCGCCCGAGTGCTGGGGAGGCCCCCTCCGTTGGCCGGTAGTCGGAGCCGGGTGTGACAGAGCAGGACTCGCAGATATTTGGAGGCAAAAACAGATAAATAGAAAAGGAAATTGGTGACAGGGCAAGGAGGAGGGACTCAACACACTTTTTTGTTGTTGTTGCGGGGTCACACTCAGCCATGCTCAGGGCTTCCTCCTGGCTCTGCACTCAGGCAGGAAATCATTCCTGGCAGTGCTCAGGGATGCTGGGATCAGACCTGGGTTAGCCACGTACAAGGCAGGCACCCTACCTGTACCCATTGCCCCGGCCCCTCCACACACTCTTCAGTAATGAGGCACATGCCCTTGAGAGGAAAGGATGTGGGGAAGTGTTGGGGGTCTGGACAGAGTGTCTGGGGCCAGGGGTGGGCCTGCACGTGCTGTTCTGGCCCCTCCTCTGATTCCCTGCCAAACACAGGGCAACTGGGGGCAGAGCTCGTGGCGACAACAAGACTAGTCCTGGGTGGGGGGGGGGGTCACGTGTCCCCTCTGGATAAGTCTGTGTAGCAGGGGTCACTGGGTCGACCGGTGCTCAAGGTCACATAGCAAACTGGTAGGGCAGGTCCCTCAGCGGGACAGGGAGGACGTGCTCCCGTTTGTTTCTCTTGTGTGCAGCTGGTAACCTAGTCACGTGTCTGACTTCTTAAGGATGGGGTCCTCAGACTGTGCAGCCGGTTCCGGGCCTCCCAGCTACCCCAGGGAAGCTCACTGACATGCTGGTGGCAGCCTTGGCCTCGGCTGTGATCCAGAGACAGACTCAGCTCCCTCTCAAGTCCTCCAGGGGCACGCTTCCCGGCTGTAAAGTAGTCGGGGTCACACTCTTAGGTCTTGGCAACTGCTCTGTGGGTGGGATGCT